ATGAATTTGAAAGGAGCCGCGTGTTGTCCATACCGCACCATATTTGACATCCCCTTCTGCTACGTTCCCCAATTGGGGAGGCATCGGGCGCATGCCATTTCCGTCACACTGGAATCCCCGCTGCTTGAGGCTCTGCGACTTATGTTGCAGCACGACATTGAGAGCATTGCCGTAGTGTCAGAGGAATACATCATTGTGGATGTCATAAACCGCAGTGATATCGTCCGCATTGAGGATCAGGGCGTGTATGACACGGAACTTACCGTCCGTGAGGCAATTGGGAGCACAGTGAGTGCAAAAATATGCGTTTTTCATGCTAAGGATGCACTGCGGGATATATTTTTTCACTTTGCGCGGCAGCGGGTGAAGGAGCTCTTCCTCGTTGACCCCGACACCGACAAGCTACTGGGCCAACTGAACATTGCGGAGATGGTTTTCTTTTTAGTGTTTGGTGTCACCACGACTAGCGCCACGGGGGACGTTCGTGGTTGTGTACAAACGGCGTTTTCCTCCTCTCCCCTTCTCGCCCCCACCCCGAATCCTGCACGTGCCGTTGCCGCTGCCAACGATAATGACGGCAACACACAAAAATAATGGAATGGGCATGGGACGAGAATAAATAAGACGAAAAGGTGTGAAATGACCGCCGTGGCGGAGTGGACGGTGCATTGTGTAGTGAGGATGGCAATGAAGAGGAGAAACCACGCAACGCACATTGTGTCATCTCACAATCGAGCGCTCGTCTTTTTCTTCTCCTCATTCTCATTCTCTTTGTCCTTCCTCTACACCAATGACCGTCTTTTCCCCGCGTTGTAGAAGATATATATATCTATATGGAAACAAATCTGATGCAACCCTTTTTTTTTCTGTCACTGCAATCATCTGCATCACTGGTAATTGTCACCGGCGTCAATGCCGTTTATTTGTTGTTGGAGGGCTTTTGTTCACACACGGTAGCTCCAGAGGCAAACCACGAAGAACGGGACGGGAGAATCCATGCATTTCCCCATCCGTGCATACGCCTTTGGCTTTTTTTTTTTTTTTCAATCAACGGCATGGAACGAAAGAAGAAGAGAGAGCGAGAGAGAGAGAGAAGGTAATTGAGTGAAAACGCGCGAGCAAGAGGAAGAGAAAGAGAGGAGAGAATAGTGATTATAACAATTAAAAGAAAAGACGAAGCCATTGTTGTAGCGTTAATGACGTTTTTGCATCTTTTTCGTCCTGCGACGCCCATGTGCGTTTTCTACGTGAAGGAATAAAATGGTTGCTGCGGTTGCACGCATCTCCCTTTCTTTCTCTCTCTCTCTCTGTTTGTGTGTGTGCGTTTTTTTTTTTTGTTTGTGTGTGTGTTCTGCACTTTTCTTGCTGTTTTGTTATTAAGAGCACATCCCATTGCTTTCTCAGATGGTGCGTGTGCGTTGTTGCAACACCACGCCGACGTGTATTTTCTCATTCAGTGCGGGTCTGTTTCGCTGCGGTTGGCGGTCGCAATCCTCATCCTCATCGTCGTCTTCTTTGTTCTCGCCACGGCCAGGCAGTAGAAGTAGGAGTGCGAGTGGTGGCGGTGGTGTGGCACTTACACCGCTGCGGTGCCCCGGTGGGCCGCGGGTGAAGGCGGAGGGACTGAAACATCTCTTCAAAGTGCCACACGCCGGCTATTTGGCGAAGTACGACCAGCGCTTTATCCTCAATTTGAAGCTCACGCATCAAATTGTCTCTCACTTAAGCCGCACGACACTCAAGACACATGATAAGCTGCTGGTTGAGCTCGGGCCCGGGACGGGGGCACTCACGCGGAGTTTGTTGACACGGCCCTGTGTCGCGGTGCTGGGCATCGAGGCGGATGAACGATTTAATGCGCACCTCGAACAGATACGGCAGTACACGGATGGGAAGTTTCATTGGGTGAATGCCGATGTGCTCCGTGTGAATGAGCTCGATGTGTTGTGCTCGGTGTTTCCTCGGTTTATTGAGCAGCATCGGAGGCGACGGAGCGATGCGCGTGCGGATGAAACGAGGGAGAAAATGGGAGCGGAGGGAAATAATGACGGTGATGGGGAGGGTTACGAGGGCGCACCGCTACGGAATTCACAGCGTGAGCGCATTTTGCGAAGACGGTTTGGGAGAAGTGCCGGGTTTAATCATGGCACAGCGAGCGATAACAACCGGGATCCTGTCAACAGTCAAAGTACTGGCATTGCGGCTGCTTTTGCAGTTACGGATCGCTGGTGGTCCGACGGGGATGCAAAGGTGGAGGTTGTGGCCAATCTCCCTTTTGATGTCATCACGGAGCTACTGATGCGGTACGCTGTGGATTGCTCGCGCAAGCAGAATCTTTTTGTTTTTGGACGCGTCCCATTACATGTCTTTACCCAGAAGGAGATTGCGGAGCGTATTATTGCCCCCGCAGGGTCCATTCATTTCTCTCGTCTCTCTGTCCTGTGCCAATGCTTTTTCCATGTGCAGGTGCGTCAGACTTTTAGGGAAATGACATATTACCCAAAGACGGAGGTACTTGGGGCAATGTTAACACTGCAGCCACGCTCCGTGCCGCTTGTTCCAGGAATGGACGCTGCCACTTTGATCCACTTTACGGATGTATTGATGAAGCCTGGACAGCGTGGTATGACGGTACACAAAGCGTTGATGAAGTGTGTCCCGGCAGAGGTGGCGCAGTATATGCTGCAGGAACTGCGGGTGGATGGGGCACTCACCGTATTGGACTTGACAGCTGAAGAAATCTGCAAACTCGCCATGCTTTGGCAACGTTTTCTTGAGGCCTCGTCACAGCAGCAAACAAACCCACGAGGTGAAGCGAAGAAGGACGGGAAATCAGCTGGAAATGATGAATGACATGCGGTCGAATGAACGGCACATACACACACTGTGACAAAGAAGTGTGTTGAAGTGGAAGGCTGTTGTTGTTGTTGTTTATTTGTTTGTTTTGATATTTATTCCATAACTCCATGTTTGGTTCCACATTGGAGTTTGTTGTCTCTGGGCTTTTATGTGTGTATGTTTAATGTTTCATGCGGAGCTTTTTTTCGACGGTGAAAAAAAGGACTTCCTTGACTTTTTCCCTTCTGTTGTACATTTCTTTTATTTATTTATTTATTTTTGATACGTCTTCTTTTAGTTTCTGTCTGTCTGTCTCTCTGCGCGTGTGACAGGGACGGAGAAAGCGTGGGTGTGTGGCGGCCTTTTGCATCCATTAATTGAGAGACACTAACCGTTGCGAAATCGGGAAGCGGAATAAAAAGAAGAAGAAGAAGAAAACCAGCAACAAAAACAAAAACAATTCAAGAAGAGGTAGTGAAGGTCGCAATAGCAGGTGAATAAACAGCTTTGCAAGTGTTTGTGTGTTTGTGCGTGTTAGCCGTGTATTGTTTATACAATGCAAAGTACCATCGTGCTGGATGCCGGCTCTGGCAGTGTGAAGGCGGCGTTCAGCAGCGCCACCGCCCCCACGTCCTTTCCGTCGCTGGCTGGTCGTGTAAAGTACAAGCCATTGTTTCAGACGTCTCATGGATGCGATGTGGTGTCTGTGGGTAAGGACGCTGCAGAGCGTCGTGGCCTGCTTCATCTCACGTACCCCATTCAGCACGGGATTATTGTTAACTGGGATGTCTGGCAGCTGCTCCTGCAACAAATTGAGCAACAGTTGGACGCGTCATTGGCTGAAAAGAGTGTTTTTTGGGTGGAGCACCCGTTTAGTTCTCGCCCTCAGCGAGCACGTGTAGCGCAAATCCTTTTTGAAGAGAAGGGTATCCTCGGTATGTGTGTGGGTATCGCACCCCTTTTGTCTCTCTATGCGACAGGCGAGACAACTGGAATTGTGCTGGATGTCGGCGAGGGTG